AATAAGAGAATCACACAATCTCTTCAAAAAGCCTTTTATGTGAGAGAATACTCTGATCTTTTGATCTTACTGAGATATGAGCAGTATCGTTAGCTTTTTCTCTAACATGTAACTTTCCTGACAGTAAACATTCACATTTTTTTCCCCATTAAGTTTATTGGTACATTTTCGGTATAAAATACAGTTGCATTCATCATTGGGATCTTGTACCATTACATGAGTATCTTGATTCTTATTTTTTCCCCTTCCCCCGCCCTCCCTTCACCCCCTCCACCCTTCCCTATTTGCAAAGACTTTGTTTCCATTTTTTTCCTTTTCTCATATTTTTTCTTTTCCCTTTTTTTTTGGTACCGGGGATTGAACTTGGGACCTTGTGCTTGTAAGGCAGGCGCCAGAACCACTGAGCTAAATCCCCGGCAAACATTGACTTTTTAACATCTTTTGCAAACTGGATATGCTGGTATTTCCCCAACTCACCAGGTCCTGAAAAGAAGCTATTTTAGCAGTTATTTTCTCAATATATCCTGTGCCCTCACATTTTATTATAAGCAGCAAGAAGCCAGGCCACACCCTACAACACTTGGCTTGGAAGTCTCCTCAGCTCTAGAGTCATGTTAATGGTTTGTTAAGTTCTGCTTTCTTTTTTTCCTTTCTTTCTTTTTTCCAGGACTGGGAATCAAACTCAGGATCTTGGGATTGCCAAGCAGGCATCGTGCCACTGAGCTACATCCCCAGCCCAAGTTCTGCTTTCTATGTAACTGCAGAGCACAGTTTCCAGTAACATATTCACAACTTCCTTCTGAGCCCTCATCAGCAGCTGCTTCAACATCCGTATTTCTGCCAAGTCTCTTCACCACCACTCAGGGACTCTCTTAGCTGGTTTGTATTTTCTTTCCCACACTCCCCAGATTCTTCATAGCCTTCACTAGGCGATCATTAATATTCCCATTTCTGCTAATGGTCTGTTCATGGCAATCTAGGCTTATAAAAATCATGCACCTCAGAATTTTTCCTGCCACTTCCTAGCATCTGATTTGGTGGCACCAAAACCTGTATTCATTTTCTGTTCGTCCTCTAAGAAAGTATCACAAACCTTAGTGGCTGAACACAGAACAATATTTTTCTTTTGGTGCTGAGGATTGAACCCAAAGTCTTTGCACTGATCTACATCCTCAGCTCCATTCAGAAAATGTTAAATTTTGAGACAGGGTCTTGCTAAGTTTCTGAGTTGCTCAGACTAGGCTTAAACTCATGATGCTCCTGCCCCAGCTTCCCAGAGTGCTGGGATTACCAGTGTGTACCACCGTGTCCAGCTCAGATTTATTATTTTACTGTTCTGTGACTGGAAGCTTGGATGACACTGAGCTAAAATCAGGATGTGAGCAGGGCTGGGTTCTTTTCTGGAAGCTCTAGAGGAGAGTCCATTTCCTTTCCTTGTCTACCTTTCTGAGGCTTTCCATAATTACATTTAATATAGTTTACAATTTAAAAAATATAGATTAAAATTTGTATATATGTTAATTTATTCTATGACTTTATGTTGAGAAGAAAATGGAACTTTAAAAATTAGATTTTTTTTTGGTACCAGGGATCAAACTCAGGACCTTACACTTGCAAAGCAGGTATGGTGCCACTGAGCTAAATCTCCTGCTAGGTGGCACATGCTTAATCCCAGCACTCAGGTAGCTGAGGCAGGAGGATAACCACGAGTTCAAGGCCAGCTTGGGCTACAGAGTGAGACCCTGTCTCAAAAAACCAAAAAAAAAAAAAAAAAAAAGAAAAAGAAAGAAAGAAAATAGAATTATTTTCCTTAGATACCAGCAGCTTGCCCAAACTTCCTCAGGCCTAGGGCAGAAACTGCACCCCTTTCCTCCCCTCCTTAGCGTGGATGAAGGGACAGAGTATGTATGCAGATGCTGGCACCAGGTCCACTGTGGCTTCCATGAGGAAAGGGATGGAGATGAAAAGGCCCTGGAGTTGCCTACGTCTCACTGTGTTCTTCCTCTCTTCCTACTGTAAAAGTCCCTCACCCACTGGAACAAAGGGAGATGGTGATGTGACCACACGAGCCCCCTCCTCCTCCCTAGGACTGGCTCTGGGAAAAGCCTTTTCATCACAGCTCCCAGCTTTGTTTGGAGGCTTAGAGAGCAGGGAGCAAACGATCATGAGTGGCAGGTAACAGTGTCTTCTAAGATAGTCATACTTTTTTTTTTTGGTACTGGGGATCAAACTCGAGTCCTTGTTCTTGCGCAGCAGGCAGCAAAACCACTGAGCTAAATCCCCAGCCCGCACTTTTTTTTTTCAAGTCTATTTTCGTGTGTTTTCAGTTTCTCAGCATTGCAAATCATGCTTACCATATAATCATTGCTTTAGGATAAAATGTGTCTGTGCACGCGCACGTGTGTGTGTGTGTGTGTGTGTGTGAACGTTCTGGGGATCAAACTCAGAGCCTCATGGGCACTAGGCAAGTACTGTATTTTACCACTGAGCTACTCCTACATTCCAAGACCTTAGGTTAAGTTTTTTGTCCTGTTTGTTTGTTTGTTTGTTTTTTCCTGAGACAGGATCTCCTCGAACTTGCTATGTAGCCCAGGCTGGCCTCATACTTGTGATCTTCCTGTCTCAGCCTCCTGAGCGCTGAGATTACAAGCATGTGGTACGCCACTCAGCTTGTTGCTATGTTTAATACATAAAATTTTGTGACTTCACCCATAAAGCTGGCATAAGAAATAGGCCTGCTGTTCATAGTCAATAGTAATGATAGGGGCTAGGGTGTGGTTCAGTGGTAGAGCACTGGCCTACCATGTGTTCGTTTCTGTTTTTTGAGACAGGGTCTTGCTATGTAGTTCAAGCTGGCCTTGAACTCACTAGGTAGTCCAGGCTGGCCTTGAACTCATGGCAATCTTTCAGCCTCAGCCTTCTGAGTGCTGGGGTTACAGGTGTGCGGCCCCACACCCGGTTTGCCTAGCATGTGTAAGGCCCTGGGTTTGTTTGGTTTTTTTTGGTACCGGGGATCGAACTTGGGTCCTTGCACTTGTGCAGCAGGCGGCTAAACCACTGAGCTAAATCCCCGGCCCCCAAGGCCCTGGGTTTGATTCCCAGCACTCCAAAAAAAAAAAAAAAAAAAAAAGGTGCAATTTGTTAAGATGCCAATATCCCAGATAGTTCTCATATACATGTTTTCTAATTTTTTTTATTTATTTATTTTGGGTACCAGGGATCGAACTCGGGTCCTTGCGCTTGCGCAGCAGGGGGCGAAACCACTGAGCTAAATCCCCGGCCCTTTTCTAATTTTTATAAGCATTTATCTTCATGCTACAGATGAAATGAAGGCACCTAGGGTTTAAGTATCTTGCCTGAAGTCACACAGCAAGGAAATGGCATCAGTAGCACCTGTCCTACTCAGTTTGAGTCCTCATCACAACTTGTTCAATGTTGTTTTCTCTGCATTTCAAGTTTCCCCTCCTTTCTAAATTCACTTACAGGAGCACCTTGCCCGCCGCGGTATTTCCATGTTGGCAGTCGGTTGGAAATGCAGCGGGCTGGACCATCTCCCACCTTTCCAGAGCGCCTGGGTGGGGGCTGGACAGCACCCCAACCTCTCTGAGCCACCCTGCCAGTGAGGAGGGTCAGGTGTGCGGCCACCGGCTCCCGCTCAAACAGCTGCATTTGCGTGGCTGCCCAGGTGGGGGCGCTGGATGGGTCACACGACGAAGCCAACAGGGAGGCATCGTTCATGCCGGAGAGCAGGCCGGACGAGCCGACCCAGCAAGAGGAAGCTACTGGTTTCTGAGTCGTGGACCTGCGCGGGGTCAGCGGCTCCCGATGAATGAGCCACACCTCATGGCCAGACGCAGGGAAGTCCAGTCGGCCCCCAGCGCCTTGCAGGGAGCGGCGCGAGGGCGGTGTGCGCCTGCGGTCCCTGCCCTCCACTCTGCCGCAGAGCAGCACCAGATGAGGCCCAGGTGGCAGGGAGGACCGTGAGGCCCGAAAGCGGGCTGACACTGACGGGGACACATCTGCTTCCTGGCGAGAGACAAAGCCAAGAGGAAGACAGTGTTGCTGGGGCAGATCTGAATTTGGGTGGTGATTTGCAAATCTGAGCCACTTCCTGCGCAGGAACCAGTTGGATAGCACACTAGGACGGGCAGGGCCGGGGCCGGGGGCCTAAGGGAAGTGGCCAATGTAGGTGCTTTCTGGTCTGTGGCGTCTACTTGGGAGGAGATCGTGTGTGGCACCTAAAGGGCTTCTTAAACTCAGGACTTCCTCAGAAAGAACCCAGATAACACTAGTGAACAGGTCTAGGCATGTGAAGAATCTGTATCTTGTTCTAAAACAATTTTTTATTCTGTTGTTGTTGTTGTTGTAGTTGTTGTGTGTGTGTGTGTGTGTATGTGTGTGTGTGTGTGTGTGTGTG